TCTGTTTCCACAGATGCCTGTCACTTTGCAGCAACTAGGCACTGGAGCAATGTTCTGCCAAGGCAACGGCAGGCTTGAAACACTTGCTTGAAAGCACAGTTCTCAAAATCTGCACTGTTCAAGTGCCCTGGTCACCTCTGACTCCATGGTGCGCTGGACGAGGGTTCACGGAAGATCCGCACGTGGCGAGCAGTTGGCTGCAATCGCGCATCGCTGGGCTGATGGATCTTCCCACATTCAAAAACCGGGGCTTTCTGCTTGCCGGTGTCCGTGCATCCTAGGGCAGTTGGAAGCAGTGACCCTGGCAATGGTGATCTTTTCCCCCGAAGAAAATGTCAGGATGCTCCAGGTTCTTCGGAGCCTCATCTAATTGATGCCCATCCCTGAGATTCTCCATTAAACAAGTTCAACGAGGTGCAACATCATAAATCCATGACGTTGTTGCAAGCCTCCTGAGCTTTTCAGGCTAAAATCCGATGGTCTCGTATCCCGCAGCTTACATGCCCAGGAGGCTGTTGCAAGCCCGAACCCTCAAACGCGCAATTGCCACAGTAGTGCAGCACATGCACCATAGTGGCCACACCAAGCTCACTCTATCACAATTTTCAAGTTCTTGTACGCCACATCAATCCTTACGTCGACGGAGGTTGGTTAAGGGCTTCATTCAGCATACTTTCTGACGCTTTGCTATCGATTCTTGCAAGCATGTCAGCGCAACGCTTCGCAGGATAGAACTTCACAGGTCCCTCCCGCCGCAAGTTCAAGATTCCAGACATCTCTCACTGCAGCTCGACGACTTCAACCACCCTTTGTGAGCGTAGGATCGAAATGAGGGCATCACATGCACTTCAAGCCAACAACAACCCCTCCATTGAGCCATGCTTGGCAATGGGTCTGAAGTTTGTCCGAAGTTTGGAAACCGACTCAATCTTGGCTTGCCAAAGTGCAGCACTGGCACCGGTTGTACTGTTGACAAAAGTGCCACCTTGTCCGACCTCAGATCCGTGCGATGCAACAGCGACTTGCTCCAGCATGGCACTGCAACGGTTTATCGACCTCTTCTGTGACGAGTATCAGCACTATGGAAGGCAGTCTTTACAATTGCTTTTCTTGTGGTTTTCCGACAGTGCCGGTGCCGATGTTCTTGATGCCAGACACGTTCAAGGAAAGCAGGGCTTGATATGCGAGCTTGAGGCTAGCACTGCAGCGCAGGGTGTTTTTTAGCTTTGCAATTCCTTTTGGCGACTGCAATATCATTTGCTACTGCGACTGCGACAACGATGCGGCTCGCAGCGCTCATCAGGTCTCTGACTCACCCGTGGAACCCTCCCATGATACCACCTCCCCAACCCCCCCACCCCTGCTACCCCGTACAGGCGTCACCTGCCGAGGATGTCGAGTGGCAGGCGTCTGCACTTGGGGTTCGGGGAACCGCAAGGACGTCCCCGTTGAGCTTCGGTCCGAGCGTTCCTTCTGGTACGTGAAATGATATAGTGGCTGGCATGGAGGAGCTTGGTTGACAACCCCAGACGGTTTGGGTTTTGGGTTCAGGGCGCAGGGTTCAGGGTAGTTACCATTTTGGGGCTCCTTTCAAGACATGTCGCACTGCAAATCCTGCAGGCTGATCTTAAAGCAACTTTGCAGAGTGGACTTGGAATTGGATTTGAAACCCTTTTGCTTTAAACGTTGATAACTGTCAACTTCGGATCCTGGGGCTCGTGTGGGCTGAAGTTCGGATCGTTCGTCTGGAACTTGCATCTCGAGATGCTTCAATCCAAACCTCGCAAGTGTCATAAGCGTGTATGCATCTAAGATCTCGGCATGGCAACCGCAGCAAAGCTTAACAACCTGCGTGCTGTACCAGTCTTGCAGCACCTTATGGCGATGCTCTCTCTAGATAAACCAGGGCCAGAAGATCGGCCTCTCGCAGCGCGCAAACCGCAACGTACGCGCTGATGCATTGCAGCAAACAGGAAAGCGCAAACGACGAAACGCTGTGACCGCTCTATGGAATGTATCGGTGCACGCTGACACTGGGGCTCAGTGAATCTCGGTGACCTTGCACGGCGTGAAGAGGCGCCACAGTAGTGTCACCGATGGCTTCGTTTTCTGCTGGTGCTGCTGGTAAATATACGTGCGAACCATCGTCTTTGTTCATCGTCCTTCTGAGGTGGTACTTGCCACCCTCGTCGCTTTCATCCTCGCCCACGTGCGCCACGTAGAACCGCTTTCCATCCACGTCTCCAATGCGAAACTTGCCGATCTGCACAAAGCGATCGCCAAAAGTGATGCCCTTCGGCGCCTCTTCGACACGTGCATGTGGACCAGCATACAAGCCGTCGAAATGCAGGTGTGTTTGCATGCCACCGGACGCGAGAATGCAAGTATGGGAAAACTGCCCACCATGGAAGTGCGGATTCGAGATGGTCAGGTAGTCTTTGTGATCGTGACGCACCGAGCCAATGTGAAAGCCATGTAGCTCGATGAAGTGGTCGCCAAATCTCACCTCCGGGTGGGTGGCCAGGCGCCAGTCCCCGAACTGCAGGAAGCCGTCGCCCCAGGCTTTGGGGTTTAGAGTTGAGTGATTAGGGAGATTTGCCTGGAGGATTCTTCGCAATTGAGGTCAGTAGTAAGGTAACTATGGCTATAATTATTATATTCATAACTCCACGTAAGGTATTTATAAGAAGACTGTACTTACGAAGTCCCATGATCCCCCAAGTAGGGAGATTTACTGAAGCTTGGGGGAGATCCTGGGTTCTTTGTAGAATCCCCCCGCCCCACCTGTGGTGATTCCGGAGCAAGTGCCGGTGGTGCTCTGGATGGGGCCGCAATGCGACCACATCGGCTTCTCAGCCAAGGCCTGCCCAAACCCGCAACTCCTCCAAAAGGAGCCCATCCCATCTGTAGATTCGGATGGTCTGGTGCCCCTTGCTGACCACGAGGTGACTCCCATCCGTGTCACCGACTCGGAAGTTGCCAATCTCCAGGAAATGCTTGCCATACCGGACGCCGGCCGCGGGCCCGGCGACGAACTCCTTGCTCCAGGCGTTGAAATCTGCTGTCGGGCCACGGCCCGTTAAATGTGTGTCCGTCCCCTCTGAAAATCACAGCAGTAGACCCAGAGATGTGGGAGATGGTGAGGTGGTTGCCGTCTATGACATTCCAGTCTGTTCTGGGTTCTGGGTGCAATGTTCCATCACTTCACTTTGGAAGATTTGTGCAGTGTTGCCACTGCTGTGAGAGACACTGAAGTGGTGAAAATCGATGGCCGCCAGGCGAAACTCGCCGAGCTGCACGAAGCGATCGCCCCAGGCACCAAAACTCTGATCGCAGGGGCCGAAGGCCAAATCGCCGATCTGAGGACAAGGGAATTTATGCGTGGACCGATTCACGAAGTTGAAACGAAGGCCACGGTTGGTAAGGGCTGGAACGTTCTTGACGTCAAGATGACCATTGCTGTGCCACTGCTCAATCAGCCTATCGGTGCCCATTCCACCCTTGGCATTCAATATCACCACAGAACTGCCAGTGTAGCCCAGGCGAAAATGGCCGATCTGGAGATACCTCAGCTGACGATGGAAGCTCAACGCGTGCCACTGCTATAGGAGTGGGCTCACGACCGTGTCCGCGAAACCAAGCCTTGAAGCCTGGGTGCGCCCATCCCACGCTAATGCCTGTCGGAGGTCCCTCTGGGCGGTCCCGGACGGTGCGTGCCTTGTCTTCGAGTTTGCAAGCGATGGGAAGGGCAACGTTGGGCCCGAAAGCGCAGAGTTTGGGATTTGGGCTGGGTGACGTGGTCTCTCGACTTCGCTACCGTGGCCTGACCTTATGCAAACGTCGCAGACAAAATGCTGATGTTCATGGAAAGTCCTACACCACGCAACTAACACCAGAGCTACAGATTGTAAGCATCAGCAAAGCGGAAGTACAGAAGCATGCAACATGAAGACTGAACATGTCAAGACTCGCACTGCTCTCCTTTTGT